ATCACTGTGGTACATTCTCCTGAAAAAAGAATGAGCTTTCTAAGAGTAAATACTTGTCCATCAATCTTAATTAGATCACTCCATTTTGTTAAGATATATACAAAGATGTTATCTCAGGTTTTATTCCTTTTACTTTGAATTATATGGAGGGTGATTAGTTAAAAATAAATAAATTATTCGATATAGCAAATCTAAATCTTTCTAAATTTAATACTAACTAATATTTTTACCATGTTAACAACAAGAGGAGAAAATGAAACATCAATTTTTAGCTTTTAGTAAAATATTCATGACACATAGTGTCTATCAATAAAGAATACAAAGCATGGATCCTTAGAGATGCAATTTGTACAGAAAGTCCACCCACATATCACTATTAATGAGAGAAAATATGTTTTAGACTCACGTGTCACTCATGAAAAAGTTGGTATGTTTGTATTTTTCTAACTCGCAAAATCACAATGAAATTCTTCAATATTAATTTCATTAAAAATAAATCAAATATAATTTGAGAATAGCAAAGGATTGAAGGCCAAGGCTTAGGCATTGAATTCATATGCTTTCTTTATGGGATTTAAAGGTTTCAAAAAGAAAATATAATACAATGGTTGGATAGAAAATATAGGGTCAACAAGAACTTGGTGGTCATGGCAATTAATTTGATTAGTATCCCATTGAGTGATGATAGGATTATATACATAGTAAGAAAAAGGGTAAAGGATTTGAACAAATTTGAGGTTAAACCTTTATATTTTAAAAGAATACTAGATCAAAGATTTGAGATCTAAAGAAACTAATAGTGGTGTTACTATGAATTTTAAATCCATTGTTAAAGAGTTCTACAATTTTAGATCTTGGTGCTCAAAACAAGAAATTTACTCACAATATGAGGCTTTTGGCCAGGTTAGCTTATGATTCTAACGAGTTGATACCATAGGAACTCATAGGTAATCATAGAATACTTAGAGGAGTTTGAGAGGTTGGAAGTGCCCTCAGGTTGAAATAAGAGAGCAGTTAGGATTTACGAAGCCTTATGTGAAAGAGTAAAAAATTATATTGAAAGAGAAGAATACAAGTGGGCAAAAATAACATAGAACTCGCCAAAATCCTAGTGGATCAACCCACAAAACTTCACCATAAAGCAAAACAATCACTATGTCATCCCACAATATATAAGCACAATCAAAAGAGTATTTATTCAATAAAATCAAGAGTACAAAGTAAGGTCATGTTTATAAGCCATCTCCATTCCAAACCAACTCTGAAAAGCTTTAGAAGCTGCAAAAAACTATAATTATATGGATTACTCACTTTGTCCTAATACAAAGGAAAATGAATTAAAAAAAATACGAAATTCAAAGCTTCTATAAGTGTGAAAATTTGGTCAGAATTGGGCATAACAAATAAGGTGAATGAAGAGGTCTTGAAAGCAAGCAATCTTTCAAAAACTTTATCTTGATTAGCGTGATCAACCTAACCATCAAGAAATCTCAAGAGTTTCATAGTTATTCTCTAATGATCTTAGAGGGATGAGGGCCGTTCATGGGTTTTCTTAGAGAGTTGAGCATAAAGAATAACCCAAATCTTATTACAGTGTTTTACTTTGTCATCTTGTTATTATCCATGAAGGAAAACCAAGATCCAAACCCTACCTTGGTCAAAAACTTGGTGGAAAACAAATCATGTTGCCGGGAAAAACCGCCAATAGAAATATTCAGAAGCTTACCATGGAGGATATGAAAAGTGAAATCCCCCAATTAAAGTGTAGACTCATTGATTTTGAGAGAATGCAACATGGTGAAATCATCCAAAGTCATAAAAATGACCGACAAGTGAGAGAAGACAAAGAAACACCCCTTCCATCAAGAGATTTCAAGTGATGAAAAACCAATGTCTGACTGATTTGATATTAAGTACAGGAGAAGAGAGTAATTTAGGAGCGAAATTGATGCATTATACTTAGATGATCATTAGTTTCGGATGAGTTCATTAAGTGTTTCCAAACAATGGAATAGACATTTGAGTAAAAACTTTCCACCTGGCAGAGGGCTTAGATTAAATATTATTAGACCACAAGAGTGTGTCCATATAGTGAGAAAATATGAATCATCAACGCCAGCATGAAAGGAAAAACAAGATCACGACCTAGTGTAAAACGAAAAAAAAAATGCAACTCAAAATATTTTCCAGCAAACTATAAGCTCGAAGACTATTTTCAACTTCATCATTTATAGCAAAAGGAATTATCAATAGAAGAGTACACCGCTAAGTCTGAATAACACATATGTGAAATATGAGTAAGCGGAGCCAGAAGAGAACACCAAAGCATGTTGTCTTGGAGGTTTGAGGCCTTCAATTGGAAATGGGATGAAATTACAACTCTATTAAACCCTGTTGGACACAAACCTTAGATTTGAATGTGAAAAAGAAACACAACAGTAACCTAACCACCCCACCTTTTAAGCAAGGTGCGCCTATGAGATGAGGCAACAAAAAACACCGACCAAAGTGTCAAAGCCTAAACCATGTGAAAAAAAATTAACACATCAAAAAGAATAGGATGGTTGGATCAGTACCCCCAAGACTTTTCTAGATAGAAACTGCTTTAAATGTTATGGATTTGGACACACCGTCTCAAATTATCCAACTAAGAAAGTGATTTACTTTACTGAGATGAAAACAGCTAGAGAAGCTCAGTGGAGATTCAAGAGAGGATGAGAACGGAGAAAAGTATCAATTTCCTACAAATGATGAAGAAAAAGCTTGTGGTTCAACCAATTTTCTAAAACAAACCCAAGAGAGACCAACAATGACTAAAGCATAATATCTTTAGTACATACTAAAATGTGGAAAAAATGGTTGTGTAATCTCAATACAGATGGAGGTAACAAATTAAACCTCACTATTCAGAAACCTTCTCAGTTAATTCCCATGGTTGAGGAAAGATATGAGATTAATGTTGATAAAAGATGCTTAGTAGTGTTTTCCATTTGATACAAACTACAGAAGCAAGTGTGGTGTGACTTGATGCTTATGAATGCATGTCCAATTCTATTAAGGTGATCATGACAAAATCATAAGGGTACGATTCATGATGACCATAAAAATAATCATTCATTAAAAAAGAAAAATGCATGTCTGAGATCTCATCCCAAGATCAATGCTCCTCAAACAAACTTACAAGATATGATCAGTGGAGTATAAGTTGCAAAAATAAGTCGACGGTCTTATTACACGGGGAGTAGTTTGCAAAAAAACCAATCTATGTCGTGGAAACATTGATTGTGCAGTTGAACAAATCAACATATATTAATTGATAACAAGGAAGCAAACAAGTTCATCATTAAGCATTAGATCCATATTCAGCTACTTGATGATTAGTTGGATCAGTTGCATTAACTAGCATCTTTTTCAAGATTAATTTACGCAGTAATTAGCATCAGATTCAAATGAGAGCAAGAACAAGTGGAAGATCTCCTTCATAATGCGAATGAATTGTATAAGGGTACAATCATGCATTTTGGCCTATGCAGTACCTCAAGTACCTTTAAGTTAAACAAGAATTTTCAAGCAATCATAAGAAAATTAGTGGTTATTTATTTTGATAAACATTTTGGTATGTCGCATTCAGAAGAGATTTGTAGTACTTATGATAGATTTTTCAAGTCTTGCAAATAAAACAGTTGTATGGCAATCCAAAAAAGTGCCACTTTCCAATACCGCAGATTGCAACACTGAATATCTCGTTTTAGCAACTGACATAGATTAGCCCAAGTAAGATAGAAACTATGGTGAACTGACCAAGTCTACAATCTTTCCCCAGGTGTGCCAATTTAATGAACTAAATTCATTTTATGGGATGGTCATCAACAGCACCACTAATAGACCATCTCAAGGCAGATAGATTTGCTTGGTCAAAAGGGGCACTTGCTAATGTTGACGCTGTGAAGTAAGCATGTTACTCATGCATCTGTTCTAACTCCTCCAGATTTTTATTGTGTTTGAATTAGAACGAGATGCATCCAATGTGAAATTGATTTTGTGTTGAATCAAGGTGGACATCATATTGCCTTTATTAGTGAAAAGGTTGAATTACTCAAGGAGAAAGTATTCCAACTATAGCAAAGAGTTTGTCATTATGAGAGACAGTTTTTTGTCATTGAGAGAACTATCGACCATTGAAGCCATTATTTTCACCCAGCTAGTTCACTCTATACAAGAATAATGATGCCCTGTGATTACTGAATGGCTATAATATGTGAAGGTTACGCACACCTCCAAAGTAAAATTTCTCTCTTCCTTCAAAAGAAGATTTGAAATGCGAAGGAAAAGTTCCATAGTTTCCCATGCCATGCCCAAGCAGGCATGGATCAAAGAAGATTTGAAATGCAATGCAGAAGCGAGGTAAGCCGCGCCTCCATGACAAACAAACCATTAGGAAACAAAAGAACAAGAGGGCCAAATTTTACTTCAATAATTTAGGCAAGAAAGCTGAACTTATTGTTTGAAGTTCAGAATATGAAAGGAGATTAAGCATTTCAAATTTTAGAAATATGGAGGCTTTACAGTTAGCCTTACAATTGGCAATTATTTAGTAAGTAGCAATTGTTGTCTGTCAGTAGCGTGTTCTCTTTCTATTATTTCTAAACATAGATACTGCCACCACAAGATGAGCATTGCACCCACTTGAAGCTTTCTAATGATTCAGGCGTATATGAAAAAAGATCATGCTTTACTAAGACAGCTGATACAACTTTAAGCAGACAATATGCAAAAGAAAAAAAAATTAAAAAATTTCACCTTAGATTGCTTAAAGTAAATTAAAATAAGATCTTGAGTTGTCAAGTAAAAAATAAAATATGAAGATTCTTTTTAGTTAATACATATAAAGTCTCGGAAAAAAATAGCACCTTATAAAAATGAATAATTTATCCAAACAGAAAGAGTATTAAAGGTTGCATATGTTCAAAAACTTTAAAGTGTTAATCCATGAAATGAACCTGTTTTGTCTTCAGTGTGCTGCTCAGAAGGAAATGAAAGTCATTCAATTGGGCTGAGAGATTGTCCTTGAATGAAGAAACCATGACCTCAAGAACATTAGATATGCCAGATAACTGTGATGTTGATCTTTGAAATAAAGACATGCTTGACTTCATTCCTTTCAAGTCAAGCCTATCTGAACAGTGTTAAGGCATACACTATGACTATCATACAATGGATGGGATTGAAGTGGGGAATCCTACATACTTTATGGTTCAAGATTTGAACTAACTCTTAGAGGATACATGCTATCTGAAGATCATGAATTATAGCCTTGAATCTTTGCTTGCACCAGTCCTTCACAACCACTTCATCCAGTAAGAAAGACATAACAGGGTCGCTAGATACAGCATTCTCATCCATACAAACATCTGTAACATCTGTTGTACTTGTTAAGGTAACAGGTTATTATAGAATGATCATTCAAAGAATATTAGTCAAATCAGCCAGGAGATATATGCAGCAGAAATTGGAAGTGACATCTTCAATAAGTAAAATTATTCAAGGATACAATGGCAAATCAAACATACAAGATTGTTATCTAGTGCAACATCAAACAGAGAATACAGGCGTTGAATAGCTAGAAAATGATCCTTGCTATCATCCTTCTCTTGAAATCTGTCAGCATGTCTCTTAGAAATAAGACCAGCGCTAGCGCATTCATAATAAAGTCGAGGTCGTAATCTATTTCCATTAACTGGAAGAGATGTTCTACAAATTGGACACACATCGCATCTCTTACTACATTCAGCACACAAAGAGGCATGCCCACATGAATTTAGTACATCTTGAACAAAGCGGCCACAGCTACTCAGATCCCGAGTGGCCCGGCAACGCTCTATTTTTGCCTCGTTGCACAATTCCAGAAGATCAATTGATGCCAAATGTTCCAAAGCATCCTGATTAAAATTCCCAACCATGATTATTACAACAGTTCAATGATAAAGGATTAAGGAAACAAAAAACCGCAAAAACGTCCAAGTATGACATAATGGATAGTACATATATTAGAAAAGAAGTCTTGAGAAACAATTATATTAGACTTTAAAATAAATACAATACCAGATAGGACCTCTAAATGAGGTTCTGTAAGTCTAGCATGCAATAAGCTTACATAAATGAGAATTTAAAATGAATTTAGCTGGTCGTTAACTGATAAATGCATGTATCAAAAAGGACTAGCAAACATCACTCAACAATGCATAATTTTATCTCTAACAACCAAGGAGAGTGAACCTTCAGACCAAAGGAAACCTTAGGCCATTTACATAATGTGTATTTCACTTAATTGGGAAAAAATAAGAAAAAAAAAATACAACGCATGCATTCCAGTTCTTGTATACAGGCAAGTAGATTGAATTAAAAAGAGCAACAACAACAACAACAAAGCCTTAATCCCACTACGTGGGGTCGGCTACATGAATCCTTTTTCTCCATTGCGTCCTATTTAGTGTCATATTTTCATTTAGTTCTAGTAAATTAAGATCATTTTTAATACAATAAGCCCAAGTCTTCCTAGGTCTACCTCTGCCTTTCTTAACACAAGTCGAATTTAAATCTACTCTCCTAATCGGACCATTAGATGGTCGACGTTTAATGTGACCAAACCATCTAAGACGACTTTCTCTAATTTTGTCTGTCACAGGAGCTACACCAACCCTATCACGAATATATTCATTCCGCATTTTGTCTCTAAGTGTAAAGCCACTCATCCACCTAATCATTCTCATCTCGGCAACACTTAACTTATTATTATGCTTCTCTTTTAAAGGCCAACATTCAGCGCCATAGAGCATTGCAGGTCTCACCACCATCTTATAAAATTTTCCTTTCAGTCTTAGCGGTACTTTTCTATCACACAAAAAACCCGAAGCATTCCTTCACTTCAACCAACCAACTTGAATTCTACTATTAACATCCCCATCTATATCACCATCGCTTTGGACAACGGACCCAAGATATCTAAATCGTTCACACCTTTTAATAATTTGATCACCCAAAGTCACACTTCTGTCACTAGAGCTATTACTACTAAAATTACATTCCATGTATTCAGTTTTAGTTCTACTTAAACGAAGGCCTTTAGACTCCAATGGAGACCTCCATAATTCAAGATGATGTTGATCTTTGAAATAAAGACATGCTTGACTTCATTCCTTTCAAGTCAAGCCTATCTGAACAGTGTTAAGGCATACACTATGACTATCATACAATGGATGGGATTGAAGTGGGGAATCCTACATACTTTATGGTTCAAGATTTGAACTAACTCTTAGAGGATACATGCTATCTGAAGATCATGAATTATAGCCTTGAATCTTTGCTTGCACCAGTCCTTCACAACCACTTCATCCAGTAAGAAAGACATAACAGGGTCGCTAGATACAGCACTCTCATCCATACAAACATCTGTAACATCTGTTGTACTTGTTAAGGTAACAGGTTATTATAGAATGATCATTCAAAGAATATTAGTCAAATCAGCCAGGAGATATATGCAGCAGAAATTGGAAGTGACATCTTCAATAAGTAAAATTATTCAAGGATACAATGGCAAATCAAACATACAAGATTGTTATCTAGTGCAACATCAAACAGAGAATACAGGCGTTGAATAGCTAGAAAATGATCCTTGCTATCATCCTTCTCTTGAAATCTGTCAGCATGTCTCTTAGAAATAAGACCAGCGCTAGCGCATTCATAATAAAGTCGAGGTCGTAATCTATTTCCATTAACTGGAAGAGATGTTCTACAAATTGGACACACATCGCATCTCTTACTACATTCAGCACACAAAGAGGCATGCCCACATGAATTTAGTACATCTTGAACAAAGCGGCCACAGCTACTCAGATCCCGAGTGGCCCGGCAACGCTCTATTTTTGCCTCGTTGCACAATTCCAGAAGATCAATTGATGCCAAATGTTCCAAAGCATCCTGATTAAAATTCCCAACCATGATTATTACAACAGTTCAATGATAAAGGATTAAGGAAACAAAAAACCGCAAAAACGTCCAAGTATGACATAATGGATAGTACATATATTAGAAAAGAAGTCTTGAGAAACAATTATATTAGACTTTAAAATAAATACAATACCAGATAGGACCTCTAAATGAGGTTCTGTAAGTCTAGCATGCAATAAGCTTACATAAATGAGAATTTAAAATGAATTTAGCTGGTCGTTAACTGATAAATGCATGTATCAAAAAGGACTAGCGAACATCACTCAACAATGCATAATTGTATCACTAACAACCAAGGAGAGTGAACCTTCAGACCAAAGGAAACCTTAGGCCATGTACATAATGTGTATTTCACTTAATTGGGAAAAAATAAGAAAAAAAAAATACAACGCATGCATTCCAGTTCTTGTATACAGGCAAGTAGATTGAATTAAAAAGAGCATTGTATTAAAACAGGCAATCAAAGATTATGCTACATCCAAAATTGTAGTAAAACAGGCAATCAAAGATTATGCTACATCCAAAAACTATAAATGATCAACTACAAGTCATTTATTATGATTCAACTAAAAGCCAATTACTAAATACTAGCAACAAAAAGCACCACATTTATCACTAATCAACATCATCACATCACTAGGCATATCACAAATATTTGTGACCACCTTTATGAATTTTTATTCCATTCAAACTTGGTGAAAAAAGATTGAGGTGGTAAAACAATTATGTATAAGGTCTCTTTGGGGTAGCTGCCTGTGCCAAGAAGCTGCTGCGAGAAAATTGTACATGTTTATTTTATAGAGTTGTGCAGCAATTGTGTTGCAGTTGTTTATGAAAAAAATATTTTTTTTCCCCTGTACTATTGTGTTCTTTATAAGAGAATTAGTCAAGGTTGAATAACCAGTACCTGAAAATAGAAAATACATTCAAAATCCTCAAAAATTCAGAAGCTCATACATTACACCTAGAACTGACATCTCACTTAATAGTGAGTAACACAACAATCAAAAAAAAATATAAAACTGTTAAAACAAAAATTAACATTATCATAATATTGAATTTCAAATGTAAGAAATCAATTTTACGAGATAACTTCTTCTCCAAAGAAGCTCTTCATATCTGATTGCTATCTGAGGTGGAATCATCTAACTGATCCGCCCACCAGAAGAATTCACTGTTGATTTATTCCTTGGACACCTGTAAAATTTTCTTCACATAACTATGCTGTTGATTTATTCGTTGGACACCTGTAAAATTTTCTTCACATAACTATGCTGCTTTCATGATGTATGTAAAGAACAATACAACCCACAATTGCAACACAAAACTCTAGAGGCACCGAAAGTCCTCTAACTCATTTTTTGAAGGTTTGAAACCATAAACCACAAACAATTAAATGAAACATTTAACTAACAAGAATAATAAAAATATATAATTAACGATTTATAAAATAGTGAGCTCTCAAAGCAAAGGATTAACCGACGAATAATCTGTCACTACAAAACAAAAGATCTTAAAAAAAAGATCTTGGTTCTCTTTAAACTATATAATGTCGAGCTCGTATGTATCACAGAAACATATCAACACAATGGTAATCCAGAAGAACTCCAACGAAAGGGATCTTTGGTTGCCTTGATGGAGATTTCACACACGTCAAAATCCGTGACAACATATAGGTCATTCAGAAGAACCCTAAGGTCATGTAACTCATCAAAAATTTTCAAACCAAAAAAATATACAAGAAAAAAAAACATATATTAAACTTATGGTTGCCTAAAAGGTCATCCATGTGGGAAAAAATACAGACTGAATGAATGAAAAGAATAAATTACAATAAATTGAAATTTCACATGAACATCATTATATAAAAAGTCATTACAATAAGCATTAAGCGTTTTCAAATCACGTCATACATAAACAACAAAAAAGTAGCACACATCATTTCACTCATTAATTATTACTTCTATAATTTGCTCTCTCAACTTAATCATCTCCCAACATCTTCCTCATCATGCTACAAGGCTCACATAAATCACAATAAGCTTGTGATATTGAATGCCTTAGATAATATTCATGTCTAAGTAGGGACATGTGACTAATCTTCATCTGTAATGCTAAAATCAATCTCACTACGTGAAGCATGTCGATGAATCTAACCATGGAGAGTTTTGTAGCCACAACAATCTTCATTTGTTTGTTGAAAGGATATGTGACCATATCTCATAAAATAACTCTTTTTTTTCCAAACCCTGAATACCCTCTCAACAAAATCACATAAAGATGAGTATTTTTTGTTGAACATCTTCTACCCCGAACAATGTTGTCGGATATTTAAAAATCAGAAATGTGATATTTTGTATCAACAAAGGGTTTGAGATACCCTTGATATCCAGCATCCACCAAATAATATTTCCCTGTTAGAAGTATAACCATTAATATCGTACTGAAAAAATTATTTAATTTTTTTATATTCAAGCAAACCAAAATGCCACATTGAAAAGTTATATTTATGAGTTTGAGTAGCAAATTTGAATATACACCTATCATATGAAATGACTTCTCATACTTGAAGGGTGTGCATTTTGCATTACTTAAAAACAAAAGAAATACAACAAGTGTACAAAAGTATGCCCCATGTACATTTACAAAATGAGATCCATCCCATTGCAAAATAGCAAAAAGGGCATCTTGATCAGTAACAAAAGTTAGAACAAAATCTCTATCTATGGCCATCTTGGCGCAAGTATGAGCTGCTTTGTTGCTGCTCTTAAAAGTATATTGGAAAATGAAAAGCTTGAAAAAACCAAAATTTGAATTGTTTGGGATTGAATGTTGCCACGGTTGCTTGTCCTTGCACTTGCGGTAGTAGTCTATAACATTGGAATTATCACACTCAATGATGATACCTTTGCATTTCGTCACCCAATCGTTAATAATCCCGGCAAAAGATTTGACCGCAGTTTTCTCCACTTGTGTGTTGTCCTAATGAAAAAATTGTTGCCCATAACTATGATGAGCCCGCCCCCTTCTTTTCAAACAATGATACCAATACCCGCCTGCCAGTAGGGAAGTAAGGTCATATCGACATTAACCTTTATCCAACCCTGAAGAGGAAGGGGGAAGAATGCCAAAAATATTGTGAAAGCAAGCAACAAGGGTGCTCTGAAAAAGCATATACAAAAGTGAGACACGTTAAAATCACATACAGTCATAAAATTTTGTGTTGGTGAATCACAATGTCAAGTATATGCAATTTTTTCGCCTTTGGACAAGCATACATCCTCATATGTTTCATCGATTGCTCCAATACATTCCTAATTCATTATATGATATATAAGAGTTGTTGCATTTAAGTAAATTTTGGAAGTAATAAATACAAAAATATACCATTAAATATGATATAGTATTGATCTTGTGAAATCTCTATAAGAGTGTTTTTGAATGTAGAATCTTTAGGTCTGATAACTTTTGAAAATAAGCTTGATCAGAGCATTCAAACCAACTAAAAAAATATCTGCAATTTTTTTTTATAATTGTTGCAATCACTAGAGCTCAGGAAAAACTTGAATTATGGAGGTCTACATTGGAGTTTAAAGGGCTTTGTTTGAGTAGAACTAAAATTGGCTACATGTAATGTAATTTTAATAATAATATCACTAATGACATAATTGTAACGATGGGTGATCAAATTATTAAAATGTGTAAAAGTTTTAGATATATCGAGTCTATTGTTCAAAGTGATGGTGATATAGATGGGGAATGTTATTAGTAGAATTAAAGTTGGTTGGTTGAAGTAGAGGAATGCTTCAAGCCTATTGTGTGATAGAAAAGTATCGCTTAGACTGAAAGAAAAAATTTACCTGCAATGCTCTATGGCGTTGAATGTTGGCCTTTAAAAGAGAAGCATAAAACTAAGTTAAGTCTTAGGCGGACGACTGGCTTTACACTTACAGACAAAATGTGAAATGAATATCTTAGGCGGACGATTGGCTTTACACTTACAGACAAAATGCGAAATGAATAAATCTGTGATAGGGTTGGTGGAGCTCCAATGGTGGGTAAAATTAGAGAGAGTCGACTTAAAAGGTTTGTTCATATTAAACATTAACCATCAAATGAAGGCAAAGGTGGGAGAAGATGTTTTATATTCGACTTATGTTAAGAAAGGCAGAGGTAGACCTAGAAAGACATAGGCATATTATATAAAAAAATGATCTTAATTTATTAGAATTAAATGAAAATATGACACTCAATAGGACGCAATGAAGAAAACGAATTCATGTAGCAAACCCCACTTAGTGAGATAAAGGCCTATTGTTGTTGTGTGTTGGAATAGTTTCATGACCCTTCTTATAGACTCATTTTGTGATAAAATATAGAGAGTTATAGCTAACACCTCTCTTAAGTCATCCTAAAGAAATCATGAAGTTCATGATTTTGGTGTAGTTCTTCTAATATATTAATAAATATGGTTTCTAATACGAAACATGTTAAATCTTGTTGGGTGACCCACAAGCAACTCTATAACCTATTTGTCGCCAATATAAGTGGATTTCATGCAAGAAATGTGAGCAATATATGAGTTGTAATACTCATACATTAAGTATAATATAGATATAATTTTTTACGTCTTTCTCTATCAATATTATTCGTTTTTTATGTTCTAAAAAAAGGTAAAAAAAATTAAATAACACTGAATTAGCAAATAATTAATTAAAAAAATATTGACAAAGAAAAGTCCAAAAATAATTAAACATTGTATCACTAGTACATCAAAAATAGTGTCATACACCCATATCAGTCAAACATATAAAAGTACAAAAATATCATAACAATCATACATCCCAGTTCTTATAAAAGTAACGTAAATAGTTAAACCTGCGCTCAAGTGTCATCAACATAAGGAATTCTCTCCTAGTCAGATCTTCTAGCAACTTCAATAAGAGAAATTAATATGACATGTCTTCATA